GGTATTGATTTATTTAATAACCTCTCAGCTTGACTGGCATTGGTCATTAAATGAGAGCATGAGAGGGCGGCTTTCATGCAATAAACATGTTAACATATCGGCTTATGCACATGTCCAGGTATGTACAGGTATGCGTCCATGTGCTGTATGTGCTTTGTGTGTAGAGCATGCAAGGAAGCTTTTACGATAATGAAGAGTCAATTGGAGAAATTAACTCGTCAGCAATTCCAATTACTTTACCGGTAGGTATTTCAAAAGATTGCAGGTGCACAGCCAATTGTTACGACGGGGAGTTAATCTCAGTACAAGTGGATCTGGAGGGGGCTTCCCCAGCAACCTGCCCCTCCCTATTTCTGAACGTTCTTAACAAAAAAATACCGTTTCCTTTCCCAACTTTTTTCTTTTGATGCCAATTGGTCAAAGCTAACGGCAGAAATTACCAGTATCACAAAAGTACGTCCCATTCATTTGTTTAGGTTCACCTCTATTTGGGACACCTCCAACTCTTTCGGAAGTGCCCGGTGTACCACCCCTGATGATGCTGGATTCACCTCTACAGTGTTCTACTAATACACAGCGGATTACATGTACATTTTCAGTTTATCATCTCACCTCAAAATGGCGGATGATTATTAAAGAGGTAGGGAGAAGGCATCAAATATTGCAACATCTAGGGTTTGGGAGGTAGATAGGCCATCCAGAAACCAGTATACAATGACTTTATCTTTCGAAAATCAACACAAGAGAAATACATGTAGATGTAAGAGGCAATTTCTGTCCACAACCAACTGGGCCAATTTCAGAAACATGGGTGGTCAAATTTTGTGTTTGTGTTGGGTTGATGGCGTTACAGGGAAAAAAGGCACAACATGCATGCATGAAGCATGCATGCATGTTGTGCCTTTTTTCCCTGCATGAAGCATGCATGAAAATACCATGTAAACTGGCATCATTGCAGCCCAAATGCATTTAAAAGAGGGGGTTTGATGACATGTAGAAAATGCACAACATTATAGATTAATCTTGAAGATGCATAAACCTAAAATCTTACTCTTAGGTTGTCAAAATAATTGTTGGATTTGTTCCGAAATGAAGGAGTGTGAAATGTTGAAGGTGGAGAGGAATGTACAATAATTTGCATGGCTTACATGTACATGTACATGTTAGAGTGTACTTGTGTGCACGTGCCGTGTGGTAACAGATTATTTATACGCTATGGAGAATAATGAAGTCAGCATACGAGTACCCAGACCTGACTCTTGGGCTGAATCACGAGCTATCTTGTATGTGCGTACATTTAAAGCTTCTAGAAAAAAGACAGCAACCCATGTGCACGCTTGTTTGCCGAGTCTACAATTTTCAGTATGTTGAAGAAAAAGAGATTAACACATACATGTATCAGAGTCTCCTGACGACGGACAGAGCACACTGTCCGAAACGTTGAGCCTCTCCGGTTCTCATCAGAACCATACAGACTCAAAAAGAGTGCATGGTGCTTACCGCAAGCTTTCCATCTCAGATTCTCCTTGTGAGAGTGAGTGGCTTCAATTTCTATGAAAGTAACTAGAATTTACTCCTTGATGAATGAAAACGATGGCATGGAACCTGTCCGTGTTGTGGGGCTGCTGTGGCAGTCCCAGGCCTGGCGGTGGTCCAGCAGGACAGCACCGTACACCGCCAGCTGCAACACAACACAAGCAGTTGGCGAGGCTTATGAGTCGCTTTTCTAAACTTGGAACGCTTTTGCAGACACTGGATATTTGTCGAACCAGTCCTCCAAAAATCCTTTGCATATTACTTATCTGCGACAACCCGGAAGGTTTAAAATCTACATGTACATGTACCCTTAATATGTTGTCTGACAACGATTGATTCAACGTGTTATTGCAGAGAAACCTCAAGACCAAGTCTCAGTGTACCGGTATGTGATTCCTGTCTGAACTGCACAAGACCGCGGAATGTTTGTTTTATGACAAAAACACATCAAATCATGCACTTACATGTAAACTTGATGGATGGAGCAATCAACATAGTGGAGAAGAACTACGAGACTCATGTGTGAAGATGCACCCTGTTTACAGCCGTATCTCCCCGTGACATTTTGGGGTCACCAGCATATCATTAATTCATAATGAGCATTTCTGAAATCAGCAAAAAAGGGACCCGCAGAAGCCCATTTTTTGAATATTTTTTCCACCATAAATGGGAAAACTGTTGCATTTTTTTCATATTTTTTTGGAAGATGGTCTTGCCACCTCTTGTTTAAAGGTTACAATTGGGGAAAGGTTTTCTATTCCCTACCTCTTTAAAGAGTTTGCACTGTTATGGACATTCAGGCAGAACTACTTTGCTGTGGCTTGAAATCACAGAATTTTAGTTTGTAATGTTGAAAGACTTCGGCATTCTAGGTATACATATACAATTCACCAAAGGTACAAATTCTATCTTTAGTTTCTGAATTTGTTTGCCTTATGTGTCAAGGTTTTAACCTTGTTGTATTTGCTGTCATGTCTTGAAAGTGGCTCTGCAAAGATGCTTCTTAATGTGGGTTTGATCGTTCACCTGGCAATTAGTTCCATCAAAGAGTTACAGTAACACTTTATTGGCTCCAGCGTGTTACGTTAAAATATGAATAAATCTTCGGAAATTCAACCTTAGACTTGGCAATGCAAATTTACTGGTCTAGAAAAGTCAGGTGTTAAGTTTGTGACTTTATATGAATGTGACATCATTTATATGACTAAAAATGCCACCTTTTATATCATTCGGTTCTCAGGGTTGGCTCAGTGCATCTAATACATGTACGAAGGATGCATTAGATATGCAATACATGTACACACCGTATGTGCCTAGCCATTCCTCTTGTCAAACCTCTGAATCTCACCTCTGACAGCAAAGATAACAATGACGAAAGGATGCACTTCAAACTGAAATACTTTAAGTTCTTACCAAGTAAGTCCCTACATGTTTTTCTTTGTTGATTGACTGCTAAGATATAACAAATGTTGACTGCTTTTTTTTTTTTACTTTGAATGCACCATGTCCCTATTATTTGCAAATGTGGCAGGTTCCTCAAAATATGGGCCATTAGATAACATTCAACTTTGGGGGTTCATTTTTCCTGAAGTGAACAGCAGTGAATAAATTCCCAATGTCTGATGTAATGAGGGAAGTCGTGGCTGATACCTGGAACAATGATGACCGTGTCCATCATTCAAGTTAATTGGAGTTAATTAATTAAAGTCTTGAACATCAGCATTTTTGAACAGACGAGAACAAACTGTTGGAATCCTAGCCAATAAAATTTACCGAGGAGTGATAATCCCTGCGGTTATTTTACACAGATTTATATGTGGTGAAAGGTGATAATATTTACACATATTAAAACCATTTATCATGAAATTAAAAAATACCTCTCACAATTAATCGGGTCCCAAAGTCGGCAATCATGAACGTCATTCGATTCTGTCATTAGTGTAAAAAAATCGACTGCAACAAATGGCGAGTAGAATCAAAATCAATGTACAACAAAAGCTTTAAAAAAGAGTGCAAAAAAGCACCCCCAAACCATCATCCTTTTACGACAGGATTGATCACATTTTCTTCAAGTACGTTTCCAAAAACTGCAGTGCAAAATACTGATCATGGCGATTTTGCAGCTTCCGTCATTATTTCGCAGTGCCGAGAAAAGTTTGCTGCATCGTGGCCTGTTTGACCTTTGACATCAACCCAGATAGTGCGCTCTCTTTTTCATTCGATATTCATGAGCCCCTCCACGGAATAGCGACGCTCCAAGATTTTTCTCATCAGACCAAGGTTTCTCGAAAGAAAAATGACGTTCAAAAAAAAATGATGTTCGAGACATAAAATATTATTCATGATGAATATCTAATGCGCAGAGTTGATAATTCTAATGTAATTTTCAGCGGGATATCTCCAAAATAAACGGCAAAATGAACATCGCGCATGGAATTTTCAAGCACTACATGTGACAGCATTTTCGGCATCCTCGAACGTCATGCATTTTTGGTCCAAATTCTCGAACGTCATCAAAATTCTGTCAAATATGACGTTCGCAACGAACATATTGTATGCAGCCAAACTTAAAGATAATTTTAAGTGATTAAAAGGTATAAGACCTGGTAGATATGCTGGTATAGTGAGAGTAAATATAAACGGTAAGAGAATGACGAGAGCCAAACTTTTCTCATCATTTTCCGTCAATTTTGTGCTCTTTTTTTCATGGTTTTTTTTTTTAATTACTTGTATTTCTCAGGTGCTTTAAATATACCAGTCAAAAAATATACTGAATTCTCCTTGCTGTTGAGAAAAGTTTTAAAATCAAGTCCTCTGGTGCAAACACTTTGAAGTAAAACTTTAACCCTAACTGCCCAAAACCTGCCATACTCCAACAGCAGGTTTTGTGAGGTTTTGGTAGGTTTGGTACCGTACCTGAGGAACTTGTTGTTGAATTTTGTGAGACTTGGGATG